GTTTTTTTTTTTGTGTGTGTGTGTGTGTGTGTGTGTATGTGAGTGAATTGATTTGTTTTTTGTTTTTATTTTTTTTTAGCTCCCACCAATAAGTGAGAACATGTGGTATTTCTTTTTCTCTGCCTGACTCGTTTCACTCAGTATTATTCTTTCAAGGTCCATCCATGTTGTTGCAAATGGGAGTATTTCCTTCATTTTTATAGCTGAGTAGTATTCCATTGTGTAGATATACCACATTTTCTGTATCCACTCATCCGATGATGGACATTTGGGTTGATTCCAGCTCTTGGCTATTGTGAAGAGTGCTGCAATGAACATTGGGAAACAGGTATACCTTCGACTTGATGTTTTCCATTCCTTTGGGTATATTCCCAGTAGTGGGATAGCTGGATCGTATGGTAGCTCTATCTTCAGCTGTTTGAGGAACCTCCAAACCATTTTCCATAGGGGTTGCACCATTGTGCATTCCCACCAACAATGTAAGAGAGTTCCTTTTTTTCCGCAACCATGCCAGCATTTATCTTTCAGCGTCTTTTGGATTTTTGCCATCCTAACTGGGGTGAGATGGTATCTCAGTGTGGTTTTGATTTGCATTTCCCGGATGCTTAGTGATGTTGAGCATTTTTTCATATGACTGTTGGCCATTTGCATATCTTCTTTAGAGAAATGCTTACTTAGTTCTTTTGCCCATTTTTTGATTGGGTTGCTTGTTTTTTTCTTGTAAAGTTGTTTGAGTTCTTTATATATTCTGGATATTAGTCCTTTGTCAGATGTGTATTTTGCAAATATTTTCTCCCACTCTGTTGGCTGTCTTTTAGCTCTGTTAATTGTTTCTTTTGCTGTGCAGAAACTTTTTAGTTTGATATAGTCCCATTTGTTTATTTTTCCTTTGGTTGCCCGTGCTTTTGGGGTCATATTCATGAAGTCTGTTAATCACTATATCTTAACAGTAAATCTTTATAGCTAGAATTCCCCTTAATTCCTTCCATTTCAGTCAGGAGCCTCTAAACTAATCTTACTTAGCCTTTGATCATCCATCGAAATTTTAGGTCCCGTGAAAAACTCCACTGAGATTTTAGTTGAACTTGCTCTGAACCAACACATCAGTTTAGGAAGAATTCACATCTTTATGCTGTTGATTCTTCTGATACATGGATACGACATATTACTCCATTTAAGGTCTATAATTATGTCTTTCAACAAAGTTTAATAAATTTCCTCATAAAAACTTATATATGTTTTTTCTGATTCTTTCCTAATTTTTTTTTATTTTCTTTGCCTGTGTAAAAATATTTTTAAATTACATTTTCAAACTTCTCATTGCTGGTGTATGAACATATGATTGTTGCATATTGATCCTATATCTAGTTAAGTCACTAAACTGTCTTTTTAATTCTAGTGATTTGCTTACAAGATCATTTGGAATTTCTGCATAGAGTATCATGTCATCTTCTAATAATGACCCTGTTGTTTCTTCCTTTTCAATCCTTCTATGTTTCATTTTCTTGTCTTATCACACTGGTTTGTACCTCCTTCCTGCATTCTTAGATTGCATCTAAGTTTCAAGTTTTAGTCTCCGGGACTCAGCCATCTGGGACTAGGTTATAATTTTTAGGATTTCAGATCATCTAGTTAAAAGCTCCATACCAAATGTCCAGGGATTAGCCACAATACACATTTTTAGACGCACTTCATCATTTATTATTTCTCATACAGCATCTCAGTGATCCCCACACAAAGTAGTATAAGGTGGGTAGAGTGACTTTCCAGATCTACCCAGATTATTTTTTCTGAGCTGAAGGGGTCTTTGATGTCATGAATCTCCAAAACTGTCAAAATATCGTCAGATATGTCAAATAATTTCCTCAATCCACTGAGTTATTTTAATATCTAGCATTTTTGAAATTCATTTGGCAAACCTATTCAATTGCTGCGTACTGAGTTAAATAAAAATATCAGAAAGGGCCGACCCTGTGGCTCACTTGGGAGAGTGCGGCGCTGGGAGCACCGAGGTCGCAGGTTCGGATCCTATGTAGGGATGGCCGGTGCGCTCACTGGCTGAGCACTTGGTGCAGGCGACACCAAGCCAAGGGTTCTGATCCCCCTACCGGTCACACACACACACACAAAATATATATATATATATATTATAGAAAAAAGATGTCAAATATCCTGCCCTAGAAGGATTTACATGGAGAAAATAAATTTACCATAAGAACAAGTCAGATCATATCAATAAAATCTGCTTTTCCCTAACTACAAACTTGGCGTTTTCAACACTGCCCTTAAAGCCTAACACTGGGTTAGCCAGATCTTAGACTAGTTTATCATCCTGATAACCTTGTTCCAGGCTTAAAGCCCAAGTCTATTGTTTTTCCCACACAGTAGTGACAGGAATACCTGTCCCCCAGAGTGACACCTGGAACACAATCAAGTCCCATCTGTGAGGAAATTGTCACAGCTGGAAGGCTGGAGCTGCTGCCAGCACATGGTGTGAAATCATTATGCCTCGGCCACAAGCCTCATGGTAGCTTCCCAGCAAGCTCCACATCTGCCCTTTATGCTCCAACTTTATCTCCTCCCATAATGGCAGAGGAAGTGAGTTCCTTTGAGGAGCAGCTTTAAGAGAGCTAGCAAGGCCCCTGGGTGCCCCTGTCCTCCCCATTGATAATTCCACCCTTATTCTCCTACTTGAATAGCATAACTCACTTGTACATAGAGAGGGCAGGGACCACTATCTCATGCCCATTTTCCAGATGAAAAGACTGAGGCACAGAGAGATGAGACGATACCACCACATCCTCATAGCCAGGAAGTGCTGGAAGGTCTGAGACCAGACCCCCTCAGTTCAGGGCTCTCATAACTAGACTGAGTTCATACTACCTCTGTGTGCAGTGCATCACTTGCCTAGCAGCACTGAGTGCTAGTTGGGACCCTCAAAATGGGTCCAGGACCACCACAAAGTGAGTTAGTAGCAAAGAGGAGCAGTGAGGTAGGAGGTGCTCAGTCCCCCTGGGTTTGGATTTCAGGCCCCAACCCTGGGTCTCAGGCCACTCCCCTAGGACTCAAGCTCCACCTCTCAGTCAAGTGCTATGGTGGCCTGTAGCACCTATTTTGGGCACCAGCACATGGAGACCAAGACCACAGGGGACAGACTTACATAATCTCACTTGCTGAGCATGCTCAGTAAAAAGGAGTTTATCCCTTGAATGGCCTCCCACTGGAGGTGCTAGAGAGCACAGAATATATTTGAACATATTCGGTGCATGTGGTAGAATCTGGCCAATGAACATGCTCCAAAGAGGCCAACTGAGCATGTGCAAGGCTATGTTACATAACAGAGAACCACTCCCCTAGTTGAATATTCATTAGATAACATGAATATGTATTAAATAATGAAACTGTAAAAGTGGAATCCCCATAGAAGGCAGAACTGCTGCTCACTCTCTTGGGGCTGGCGCACACTTTGCCTGAGGTGTGTATTTCTTTCTTTTTGTATCAAACTTGCTTTTAGCAGGCTGCTGTTCTAGAGCCAGCCTGCACTTTGTCTGTGGATGTGTATTTTTTACTTTTGTATTAAACTTGGTGCAGGCCAGCTCAGTCTCTGGAGCGAGGCTGAACTTTCTCTGTGAAGTCTGTGTTTCTTGTCCATTACATTAAACCTCTTTTCACTTTCTACTGTGACTCCTCTCTTGAATTCTTTCCTGTAATGAAACCTGGCAAGAAGACAGGGTGGGTCGAGGTCAGCCATCAGACCTCCCCAAACCCTCTCCTCTGGTGTCAGCAGGAGCCCAGGTCTCCCATCTCCCAGGCCCAAGCCTCTGCCCACCATATTGTCCTGCCCCTGGTTTTCCAAAATCACAGCTGAGGATAGGGCAGCCTGAGACCAGATGAGCAATAACTGAGTTTGGGTGATGATATGCCCAGGCAATGGACTCAAAGAGAACCAATAAAAAAAATAATGCTAATAAGACTTACAGCATCCTGGAAGAAAATTCAGGTTTTTAGGGGAAAGGAAGGTTTCAGCCTACACATACAGGAGTTTGAGTATCATGGTATTTAGGATATTTGTCACCTAACCATTGGAATAGTAATAATGTTGAGAGGAAGTAAACAGATGTGCACATTTTGTGAAACAAGGTATGTAGAATTTGAAGACTGAGAGATGGATCTCTGAATGGAAGGTTGTCTTTTTTAACATACTGCACAATTAGTCATCCTTTATTTATTTATTTATTTGTTTATCTATCTATCTATCTATTTATTTAATGGAAGGTTGTCTTTTTTAACATACTGCACAATTAGTCATCCTTTATTTATTTATTTATTTATTTGTTTATCTATCTATCTATCTATTTATTTGTTTGTTTGTTTGTTTGTTTGTCTGTGTAGTTTATTGCATCTGAATCCCTCTCAGTATGAGCTAAAAAGGACCCCAGTCTTTGCGTGGTGAGTTACAATGCCATCTTTGATGATGCCAGAATGTTAGAATTTGACTCTCTACCAAACCCAGGAAAAGAGGTCTCAAGGCAGCGGTGTGCCCTGGCCCTGGCCCTGTGTTCAGTGCTTGTACGTACCTTATTCCATTCAATCCCCACAACTCTGTGAAGTTCCATCGTACCCATTTTGCAGATGAGGAAATTGAGGCTTACCTAAGATCACCCAGTGAATACATGGCACAGCCTAGATTTGAACCCAGAGCTCTCTGACTCCAAAGCTGTGCTTTTACCTCTTGCATTTTACTACTCAAAAACTTAGCCATTTGAGAAACTCACGCGTATCCAAACCCAATGACCTGTGCGTGCTCTGTGTCAAGCAGAAAGCTAGGCCTGGGCCAAGTGAAAATGCGTGTACATTTCAGCCCCCTCTTTAAGGTATTTCCCACCCTCCTGTTTGGCTGGACCTAGAAAAGCAAGAGGAACGTTTGCCTTGAACAATTCAGAGCCCAACCAAGGGCACAGAATTCCCCTACACCTTTGGGGTCTCATTCTGTCTCGACATCCAGAAAAAGACCTGGTCATGTTGTGATTTTTGTTACCACCTCTAAGGAACTTCAGGATAAATTTAGATCTCTGTGGTGACCCTCCTCTCATCCCTGATTCCAAGCCCTCCTTCCCCCTCCACTTTCTCTGCATGACTTCTCATATTTCTTCTGCCATTTAATGGGAAGCGGTGGGTCAGGTAGGGGCTGGGTTGTCTCACCGAGAGTTTCCCAATTACCAACCCCCAGTCTGCAAGGCCAGTTTCTGCTGCCCCACAGTCTACCTTACTTCACCCCCTCCATTGAAACAGAACCCCCCCAGGCACCCTAACATTGGCTGAGCTCACACTGCTCCTTAATATCCCAACAAGAGTGAGCCAAACCCTATCCCATATCCTCTGGAAAGTGTCCTTCCCGAGATGTCTGCCAAGTCCTAGGGGTCCCCTCGTCCTCTCTTGCTCTGATGTTTCACTCGTGGTTAAATCTCTACTTCACTCTCTACGTCTTACCGTTGCCCTGATCCCGCCACAAATGTGGGACACAGCCCCTCTTTATTCTCTGTCTGTCTCCATCCCCACAACCCCCCTAGAGGGAAGCAGCTTGAGTAAAAGATGAATAATTAATAATTAGAGGATTTCCACATCTCCACACTGAAGCAGATACCTTAAAACTGCATATTAGACTTTCTGGTTCTGAAAATCTTTGGCAGCTAATCCTGCCAACCCAGGCTCCAGGATTCTGCCACAGGGACCGTCTTATCTACTCCCTCCTCTCAAGGTGAGCCTGGCATCCCTGCTCATTTCTCCGCAGAGCAGTTCAGCATCCTTGCCTTGTCTCTTCCCAAGCCAGCCTTCTGAATCTCATTTCCTACCCCTCAGCTGCTGAGCAGGTGTTTTCCCAAACAAATACAGTCCCTGACCTACAAGACTCTGCACGTTGATTACAGAATAATTTTCTCACCTCACTGCACTTGAAATAAACTGGCTTCTCCACCCTGCCTGACCATCTTCTTTCTGTCCTGACTCCTTTTTTCTCCTACTTCCCAACGTCTTCTCCAGGTGAACGGCAGCATCAGCATGAACGTTGCCAGTGCAATCTTCTCCCTGGCTGGGATCTTCCTTCTCGTTGCAGATCTGATCATTCTCTCGTGGGTAAGCATTTTGGTGAGCATTCCAACTGCCAGGGCCCCATGCTTCCAATGGACCACGAGGGCTTACAAGGTGGTTTCCAGAGCAGGAAGGAATTTCAGCAGAATTCCATCTTAGTATGACAACCACTAGGTCCAAAAATTATTTAATCCTCACCAAAACCTTGTGACCTCTGAGGCAGCCATGAAAAAACCCATTTCACAGTGAGGACACTGAGGCTCAGAGGGAGGTGCAATCTCTGCTTGCATCACATTTACCATTGTCCCCTTGGCCAAAGAAAGTCCATGGCCAAGCCCAGCATCAGTGAGGGAGAGTCTACCCAAGGGGATGGAAACAGGAAGGGAAGAACTTGTGGCCATTTTTGCAATTTACTACCTCATGTTCTTTGCCTTTCAGAACATGATGGTGATTCCAACCATATTCAGTGTCAACTCAGTCAACACTACCACTGGTCCTATCAGTGCTACCACCAGCCCTGTCCACACTACCACCAGCCCTGTCGTCAACACTACCACTGGCCCAGCCAACATTACCACAGGCCCTGCCAACCAAACCTACCCTCCTGATGTGCCCTCTGAACATTCACACCAAGTTAGAACTGGTTTTGCCCAGAGGTAGATGGCATGGGATGTCTGTTTTAATGACAAGGAGAAGCCACTATAGCAGAATTTTTCCTTCTCCCTAAAACTTCCATGACCACAACCCTGGCATTGTTGCTAGGACTCAACAGGAACCATTTCTTCCCCTCTTCACTTCTAAGCTTCATTTTTGTTTGTTAGTGGTATCTTTTAATTCATGAATAATTTCCCTTTGGCTCTAGGTATCTTTTAAACTCTGCAGGGTGCATTTTTGTGCTGTTGCTCCTGGTGCGTGCTCACTGTTGAAAGACCAGTTCTCGGTTGGTGCCTCAGCCGTGGAATTCTTGGAGGTCCAACTCCTGCCCCTCTCCCAGCTCTAACCCTGACATGGTCACTCCCATGGAGTAAGGACAGCAATGCAGAGTGTGCACACTGCTGGCTGGTAGTGTGTGTGTCCTGGCGTTCCCAGGTGTGTGAGGAAAAGAGCCCATGGGTGCATATGTTGCCTGCTGACACTGTGGGAAGCACGCCCCACCCCCGTCCCAGAGAAAGAGCTGTTCAGGTTGTGCAACAATGCATATACCAACTTAAAACAAGACTATTGCTCAGTGAAGGCTACCTGTCCTCATTTGCACCAAGGTGCCCTATGGATTAGCTGTCCCCTGCATGTACCTTTTAGCCCACAGGGAGTCAGTGGGGGCACCCCCTCATCTCCCTCCCTCCTCTCTCTTCTGTCCCTCTGCCCTCTTCCAGAGTTCTGGCTCCAGCCTGACAACAGGCCACATGGTCAGGATGTCAGGGGACATATTCCAGGTGCCATGCGGGGACAGCAGTGCTGCCTTACAGACCTCCAGGGTTATTTCTAACTGAAGCATCTACAATAAGTCAACTCATTGCAAAGGCCAGTAAATCACTATGCTCAAGCTTCTCTGTCTACCAGGAGTGAGGAAGGGGACAACAAAATGAGTGAAGGGTCAGAAAACCCCATGCTGCCGGACCTGACAGCCTGAAGCTCCCCAAGGTCATGACCTCTGGTGACACATTGGTGTCATCAGTCACCAGAAGGTCCTGTGACCACTCTACGCTCTTAGAAAGTGGTTCCAGAGACCATTCTAATACAGCAGCCAGAGCTCTGGGGGGTAACTAACGTGTGCAACACCTATATTTCACTGAGTGCAGGTATTGACCCCAACAATAACATAGATTTATATTCTCAGCCCTTCGTACAGATGAGGAAACTGAGACTCAGAAGGAATCCCTTCTCTGAGCCACAGTCACTGAGCAGTGGACGTGAAACAGGATTCCCAGCCCAGCCCTGGCTCATCGTGCTTCCCTTTCTTCCTAAAAGCTCCAGCCCCCATTCCTGCCCCACAGGCAGGAAAAGATAATGCACTGCTGGCCAGAAAGCCATGCCTCCCCATGCGGCTGGTCTCTGGGAAGAGCACAGGGGAGGAACCCTTGGGAGGAAATCTATCCTTTCCCCACCAGTGAAGAAAACCTAAAGGCTGGAATCCAAAGTGCTGAGCTCAAGGCTGCATTCCATCCTCTTCAAGTATAGATTAACCACCTGCCATGTGCCAGGCACTGTGCTAAATGGTAAGGGTGCAACCAGGAGGGAAAATCAAAATATTTAACAATGGATATGCCACTGACACTGACCAATTAGTACGGACAAAGGCCACAGTGCTGAGCAGGACTCTGGAGGCACCCTGTTGTGCCAAGCATAGCCCTTTAGTTGTTGGATCATGAAGAGGTGAGGGGGCTTCAGTGGAGAGGGTCTAAGCACTGTGCACATGCACAGGGGATCTCACAGGGCTCAGGACAACCAGAATGAAAGCGCTTCAATATTGTAATAACCAGTCCATTGTGCCAATGTTTCCCAGCAAAGTATCATCCCAGGGTACAAAACTGAACAGAAGCAATGTGGTCCCTGCCNGTTTCCCAGCAAAGTATCATCCCAGGGTACAAAACTGAACAGAAGCAATGTGGTCCCTGCCGCCTTGGAGTTCACCTTCCAGCAGGGAATCTGCAGGGGCACAATACTACAGGAACATTACACTGCAGGGGCACTACACTACAGGGGCACTACACTACAGGGGCACTACACTACAGGGGCACTACACTACAGGGGCACTACACTGCAGGAGCACTATACTGCAGGAGCACTACACTGTAGGAGCACTCTATATCCATCATCTTGTTGAATCCCTGAAACATAATTTAAAGATGAGGAAACTGAGACTTGGAGAATAACTTGCCCAGAGTCCCACCACAACAAAGGCATTGGAAGGAGTAGAAACTGAGGCCTCAGACTCCAGGGTAGAGCTCCTGATGTTGTGTGGCTGCAAGTAGAGAAGGCTCTGAAAGCCAAACAGAGACAGGGATGAGGATGTGGTCGTGGCTCCAAACTTACAAACACACACACACACGCTCTCTCGCTCTCTCGCTCGCTCTCTCTCTCTCTCTCTCTCTCTCTCTCTCTCTCTCTCTGTCACACACACACACACACACACACACACACACCTGAGGGATGTGCAACAGTCACTTGCCAGGCAACCAGTGTTCAGCAGGCAGCCCACCCTCCTTCACCAATACAGCCACACCCTGGGATGGGGGATCCAGGAGAGGTGACAATCCTCACA